ACGGGAGCCGCCGGATCCAATTATAGGCCAGGGATCAACCAGAGGATTATTGTCGGCCGTTATAAAAGCCCATTATTCCCGTCCCCGGGGGGCTGCCTGCACCGCGCTGTACAGTAAGTAACCCCGACCTATGGGGGCCACACACTGCCAGGTCTGCCCATCCCCCTACCACCAACTATGGGGGGGCAATCAGATATCTGGGGGGACAGGAATGAGGGGTACAGAGATTGGCTAGAACAATTACCCCCATCTCTCTCTCCCCTCCGCCCTCCATCTCTCTCTCTCTCCCCTCCGCCCTCCATCTCTCTCTCCGCCCCCCATATCTCTCTCCGCCCTCCATCTCTCTCTCTCTCTCCCCATCTCTCTCTCCCCTCCGCCCCATATCTCTCTCTCCCCTCCGCCCTCCATCTCTCTCTCTGATTTGTTCTCTCTCTCTCTCCCCATCTCTCTCTCTCTCTCTCTCTCTCAGGGTCTCGTCTCTCACTCGTAGCTGTCGGTTGGATAATTGAGGTGAGTGTATTTCAGTTGCAGTGATGACATTTATATTGGCTGCGGACAGACGACCTCCGTCTCCACCGTGTGCTCAGGAAGGTTAGAGAGCTGAATTCTCTCCATAAGTTCTAATGAGATGTGCGAACAACACACTGACACTTGGGGGCCCCAGAACAATGACACACTGACACTTGGGGGCCCAGAACAATGACACACTGACACTTGGGGGCCCAGAACAATGACACACTGACACTTGGGGGCCCAGAACAATGACACACTGACACTTGGGGGCCCAGAACAATGACACACTGACACTTGGGGGCCCAGAACAATGACACACTGACACTTGGGGGCCCAGAACAATGACACACTGACACTTGGGGGCCCAGAACAATGACACACTGACACTTGGGGGCCCAGAACAATGACACACTGACACTTGGGGGCCCAGAACAATGACACACTGACACTTGGGGGCCCAGAACAATGACACACTGACACTTGGGGGCCCAGAACAATGACACACTGACACTTGGGGGCCCAGAACAATGACACACTGACACTTGGGGGCCCAGAACAATGACACACTGACACTTGGGGGCCCAGAACAATGACACACTGACACTTGGGGGCCCAGAACAATGACACACTGACACTTGGGGGCCCAGAACAATGACACACTGACACTTGGGGGCCCAGAACAATGACACACTGACACTTGGGGGCCCAGAACAATGACACACTGACACTTGGGGGCCCAGAACAATGACACACTGACACTTGGGGGCCCAGAACAATGACACACTGACACTTGGGGGCCCAGAACAATGACACACTGACACTTGGGGGCCCAGAACAATGACACACTGACACTTGGGGGCCCAGAACAATGACACACTGACACTTGGGGGCCCAGAACAATGACACACTGACACTTGGGGGCCCAGAACAATGACACACTGACACTTGGGGGCCCAGAACAATGACACACTGACACTTGGGGGCCCAGAACAATGACACACTGACACTTGGGGGCCCAGAACAATGACACACTGACACTTGGGGGCCCAGAACAATGACACACTGACACTTGGGGGCCCAGAACAATGACACACTGACACTTGGGGGCCCAGAACAATGACACACTGACACTTGGGGGCCCAGAACAATGACACACTGACACTTGGGGGCCCAGAACAATGACACACTGACACTTGGGGGCCCAGAACAATGACACACTGACACTTGGGGGCCCAGAACAATGACACACTGACACTTGGGGGCCCAGAACAATGACACACTGACACTTGGGGGCCCAGAACAATGACACACTGACACTTGGGGGCCCAGAACAATGACACACTGACACTTGGGGGCCCAGAACAATGACACACTGACACTTGGGGGCCCAGAACAATGACACACTGACACTTGGGGGCCCAGAACAATGACACACTGACACTTGGGGGCCCAGAACAATGACACACTGACACTTGGGGGCCCAGAACAATGACACACTGACACTTGGGGGCCCAGAACAATGACACACTGACACTTGGGGGCCCAGAACAATGACACACTGACACTTGGGGGCCCAGAACAATGACACACTGACACTTGGGGGCCCAGAACAATGACACACTGACACTTGGGGGCCCAGAACAATGACACACTGACACTTGGGGGCCCAGAACAATGACACACTGACACTTGGGGGCCCAGAACAATGACACACTGACACTTGGGGGCCCAGAACAATGACACACTGACACTTGGGGGCCCAGAACAATGACACACTGACACTTGGGGGCCCAGAACAATGACACACTGACACTTGGGGGCCCAGAACAATGACACACTGACACTTGGGGGCCCAGAACAATGACACACTGACACTTGGGGGCCCAGAACAATGACACACTGACACTTGGGGGCCCAGAACAATGACACACTGACACTTGGGGGCCCAGAACAATGACACACTGACACTTGGGGGCCCAGAACAATGACACACTGACACTTGGGGGCCCAGAACAATGACACACTGACACTTGGGGGCCCAGAACAATGACACACTGACACTTGGGGGCCCAGAACAATGACACACTGACACTTGGGGGCCCAGAACAATGACACACTGACACTTGGGGGCCCAGAACAATGACACACTGACACTTGGGGGCCCAGAACAATGACACACTGACACTTGGGGGCCCAGAACAATGACACACTGACACTTGGGGGCCCAGAACAATGACACACTGACACTTGGGGGCCCAGAACAATGACACACTGACACTTGGGGGCCCAGAACAATGACACACTGACACTTGGGGGCCCAGAACAATGACACACTGACACTTGGGGGCCCAGAACAATGACACACTGACACTTGGGGGCCCAGAACAATGACACACTGACACTTGGGGGCCCAGAACAATGACACACTGACACTTGGGGGCCCAGAACAATGACACACTGACACTTGGGGGCCCAGAACAATGACACACTGACACTTGGGGGCCCAGAACAATGGCACATTGGGGGCCCGCTTGCCATCTCAGGATCTCCTCTCCTTCCAGTGGCCACCATGAGTAGTGATCATGAGATGATGGCCTACGGGGTGGCGGCCCCTTACCTCCGGAAGCCCGAGAAGGAGCGGATCGAGGCCCAGAACCAGCCGTTTGATGCCAAGACCTACTGCTTTGTCACTGACCCCACTGTGGAGTACGTCAAGGGGAAGATACAGAGCAGCGATGGCGGGAATACCACTGTGGACACCGAGGACAACAAGGTAGGTGGGGCCGGGACTGACCCCGGAACATGGATCCCACCAATTCTGAACAATATAGAAATAATCAGCTCTGCCGAGTTCATCAGACCATAGAAGAGCCCAGAGCACCCCCCCCCCCTCTCCTCCCGGGCGAGCCCAAGG